TATCCTGTTAAATAAGGCCATGATGTGACATACAGTAGCCCAGGTAACTAATGTATCCTTCGTCGACAGAGTGTGAGGAGAGCGCTGGGACGTCTAGACCCTGGCAGGCAGATGAAGGCCCGTCCATCTCCGAGGACCTACTGCACGACGACGACGACGACGACGACCACCTACCCCTCACGTCCCAGCACCGAGACCTGCGCCAGGTGGGTCTTCTCCCCCCGTACAAACCCCAGCACCGACCGCTGTGGCAGGTGCGTCTCCCGCCCCAGCACCGACCGCTGCGTCAGGTGGGTGTCTTGACCTCCCCTCCCCTGCACCCACCCCCCCCTCCCTCTCGCTGTTCTACTGATGCCTGGTCTACACACCGCAGCACTCCCTCCCCCTCCTGCCCCCTCCTCTTCCATAAGATTGCTTAGATCCCAGCAGCACCTCACCATCCATAAGCACCCCTCTCCTCCTCATCACCCCCTCCCCACCCATCACCACTTCAGCACACCCTCCCAGCGCACCAATCCACCACCAGCGCCCCACACCCCACGAGATGCAAGAATGGTCAGTGGACGTTCTAAGGACCCCCAGCAAAGACTGCACGTCGAGACACCCCTGCCCAGTACCCAGGGGGTGCTTCAAGAGCCCCAGTCCCCCCTTCCCCCACCATGGCGCACTGCCTCGAGGACACGACCAGGTCTCGGAAATTAATTACTATCTCGAACTGACACCTGAACCCTTCTCTCTCAGATAAAGAGAATAGCAGTCTCATTCTCACTAGGATCTTGGGTATAAATTTGTCATTAGTATCGAGACCTGAGTAATGTACAACTTTATGTGCTTTTATTTAACTTTTTTATGTAAGTCCTCATTATTATTATTATTTTTATTATTACTTTATTATTTTATTCCATAATAGGCGCTTTTTTATTAAGTCTTTTTATACATATTTTTATATAATTTCGGGTTATTTTTCTATCTAATTTAGGCTTGTTACTGTTTTGTCTTTCTTAAATTTGTTTATTTGTTCTGGTTCTACTTTTTTTGCCTTAAATACTTTTCTAAGGAACTTTTATTTATTTATTTTTCAGAACCATATTGATGTTATATCTTTAAATACTTCAATTGGCTTTTTTAACTACATGTTACTATTTTGATATTGAACTTTTTTATGCTAATCCTTATTCAAATTTTCAATATTTTCATTAAAAGTATATTTTGTGAAACTACATTACTGTGGGTCTTAAGCTTGTGTTATGTACTGTATGTATATCCCAAATATACATGAAACTTTCCTGGTTGAAAGTATACACGGTTTAGGGTAGTCCAGAAAGTTCTAAATTTGGTGTACCGAGACAGTGCAGGTATACACACAATATACCTAGACAGTGCAGGTATACACACAATATACCTAGACAGTGCAGGTATACACACAATATACCTAGACAGTGCAGGTATACACACAATATACCTAGACAGTGCAGGTATACACACAATATACCTAGACAGTGCAGGTATACACACAATATACCTACACAGTGCAGGTATACACACAATATACCTAAACAGTGCAGGTATACACACAATATACCTAAACAGTGCAGGTATACACACAATATACCTAGACAGTGCAGGTATACACACAATATACCTACACAGTGCAGGTATACACACAATATACCTAAACAGTGCAGGTATACACACAATATACCTAAACAGTGCAGGTATACAAACAATATACCTAGACAGTGCAGGTATACAATGCACATACCCAGATTGCAGGTATACACAAATACACCCAGACAGTAGTATACACACAATATGTACCCAGACAGTGCAGGCATACACACAATATACCTAGACAACAGTGCATATACACACAATATACCCAGACAGTGCAGGCACACAATATACCTAGACAGTGCAGGTATACACACAATATACCTAGACAGTGCAGGTATACACACAATATACTTAGACGCAGGTATGTCATCAATATACCTAGACAGTGCAGGTATACACACACATACCTAGACAGTGCAGGTATACACACAATATACCTAGACAGTGCAGGTATACACACAATATACCTAGACAGTGCAGGTATACACACAATATACCTAGACAGTGCAGGTATACACACAATATACCTAGACAGTGCAGGTATACACACAATATACCTAGACAGTGCAGGTATACACACAATATACCTAGACAGTGCAGGTATACACACAATATACCTAGACAGTGCAGGTATACACACAACATACCCAGACAGTGCAGGTATACACACAACATACCCAGACAGTGCAGGTATACACACAACATACCCAGACAGTGCAGGTATACACACAACATACCCAGACAGTGCAGGTATACACACAATATACCTAGACAGTGCAGGTATACACACAATATACCCAGACAGTGCAGGTATACACACAATATACCCAGACAGTGCAGGTATACACACAATATACCTAGACAGTGCAGGTATACACACAATATACCCAGACAGTGCAGGTATACACACAATATACCCAGACAGTGCAGGTATACACACAATATACCTAGACAGTGCAGGTATACACACAATATACCCAGACAGTGCAGGTATACACACAATGATAAACAGTTGTTATAATGCTTTTTCAGAGTCTCACTAAAAGGAATGATACTGTTGTGTGTGTGTGTCAGTCTGTGTCTTCATATTTTAGTCGTAATTAAAGTCTTGTTAAGGGCTTGAAGCACTGGTCACTCGGTCTTTGTCTTGGCTCTAAATAGCAACGCCTTGAAATTCTGACAGCCGGTGAAATCTATCCTGCGTCTAACCAGAAATTTTAAAAGTTGCAGCCACGTTACTTAAACACCACGCCTCTACCTGGGCTACCACCACTAAATAAGATTCACTACTAAGAGAAATTGATCCAACTCTTTATTTATAAGGAGAAAATCACCTTACATATATAATCATGTTAATTGTACAGGTATTAATTTAAGCTTTATTTTACTTATGGTGTAAGAACGTGAGAGATGGCATCCGAATATTGCTCACTTTTATAAGCCATTGTACAAAGATGGCTTCTCGGACATTTCTAGGATAAGTTTTCCTCGTAGGTGAAGATGTGGGAAATGGTTCACTTATTTAAACCCGACACTATAAGATGGATTCACAAATATTCGTACTTTAAATTATCCCCGTGTCTGATTCACTGGTTCACTCACTCACTAGCCACACAAAAGAAAGATTCTCAAAGATTCATATTTATTTTTCTCCCTTACTAGAACTGTGAGATCGCGTCTGACTCAAAGCTCCAACTTGAAAATGGATTCTCAGAGATTGGTATGTTTAAAAAAATATATATATATATTTCCTCTTAACTGTAGATGTGTGATCGTATCTAACTAAGCACACTTTTAAACCACGACACAAAGATGGATTCTCAAAAGGTTCGTAGGTTAATTTTGTTTTCACTTAAGCTACGATACCAAGTTAGTTTCTCATATAACTGCACGTTGATTATTTTTCTCCTAACTGGTAATGTGAGAATTGGTCTGGCTCGTAACCCTGACATAAGGATGGATTCTCAAGGATCTATATAAGTTGAGAATCAGTGCTACAGATTTAGTTGCTACACACACACACACACACACACACACAGACACACACACACACACACACACACACACACACACACACACACACACACACACAGTCAGAAGTTGCAGCACCACCGCAGTTCTGATGGGCAGCAGCAGGCAGGGGGCGTCAGGCTGAGTCTCTTAAATTAACGAAGGACAGTGATGTTGTGGCCACACGCCTAGTGTGATGTTCACTCCTCCCACACCCACCCTAACCTACCCCTCCTCTCCACCTACCTGCCTCCTACCTACCTCTCCTCCACCCCTCCCTCCCTCCTCCTCCCTCCCACCTACCTACCTCCCTCCTGCCCTCCATCACCCCCCCCCCCACCTTGAGAGGATAGGAGGTAAGGTACATTCTTCATCTCCAGTTACCAGGAATAACCACCACGCTGGCCTCTGAGATCCTTAACACAAATAACGGAGCTAGAAAGTATCCGTTTCGTTATAACAATAGACGTTGACGAAATAATCCACAAGTTAATTATTTTCTCAAGCTACAGATATACAAAAGTGTAATTACAGGTGAAATTTGGATTACCTGATGATTAGGCACCCTGGTTTATTTCACCTAATGCTTAAATACCCGAATGCTACCTGAAGGGGTTAGATTAGGTTTGCATTCAGGTGTCTAATCATCAGGTGAAACAATCTAGGGTGTCTAATCTTCAGGTAATTCCAAAATCACCACAAACTCGTGCCAGCTAAACAAATATTAATAATGGAATGAGAATCTTCAGTTTTAATTAAGTCTTTCGGAAACGGCTGTCAACAATGAATGAACTATTTGACGGAATAAAGAATCTTTCATAAAATTTAAGATTAGATAATATTTTGTTGTAAGTCTCTGTCCCACATCTACTTACGAGAAAAAATTAATGTAGGAACTTTTGAGAAATCTGTGGACGCATTGTACCAACGAACCAACCAGCTTGCTACCTCACACGATCCTCACCTGCCCGGGTGTTGCACTGTAATGTGGTGTTGCTTAATGGCCCTGATAGTGCACCATACACACATGCTGGTCACCTTGTAGGCATAGTGATGCTACGGACACCATAATCTCCAGGGTCTTGGGATGGTGCAATATCTAGTTAATGGCGTAATGTCTTCATGTGGTGAATATATATTGTATACCATATAGTGACTGCTCGGTACAGTATGTTTACAGTGTCGCCTGTTTATATTTACAGAATCACTTGATGTTTGTGTTTACAGAGTTCCGTGATGTTTGTGTTTACAGAGTCCCTTGATGTTTGTGTTTACAGAGTTCCTTGATGTTTGTGTTTACAGAGTCCCTTGATGTTTGTGTTTACAGAGTCCCTTGATGTTTGTGTTTACAGAGTCCCTTGATGTTTGTGTTTACAGAGTCCCTTGATGTTTGTGTGTTTTGAGGTCCCTTGATGTTTTGTGTTTACAGAGTCCCTTGATGTTTGTGTTTACAGAGTCCCTTGATGTTTGTGTTTACAGAGTCCCTTGATGTTTGTGTTTACAGAGTCCCTTGATGTTTGTGTTTACGAAGTCTCCTTGATGTTTGTGTTTAGTCACATTGATTACATCAGTATCATCATGTTATCATTTCGTACACGTAACTACTGTATATTCGTCACCGCGTCAGTTGTAACCGGTGTGTGTAAGGACCACACCTCTGTCGCCCTTGGTAGCTTGTTGATAATAATTCTTCCCTATGTGTTTTAGTGTAGAGTACATGGTGAAGTGTAGAGTACATGGTGAAATGTACAGTACATGGTGAAGTGTACAGTACATGGTGAAGTCTAGAGTACTTGGTGAAGTGTACAGTACATGGTGAAGTGTACAGCTCATGGTGAAGTGTACAGTACATGATGAAGTGTACAGTACATGGTGAAGTGTACAGTACATGGTGAAGTGTACAGTTAGGTGTAGAGGTTGATGGAGTGTGTGTGAGGACCTTTGGGAGAGGTGACATTTGATTGTCTGTCAATACTAATGTCAAGTGACTCTGTAAACACCAACATCAAGGGACTCTGTAAACACAAACATCAAGGGACTCTGTAAACACCAACATCAAGGGACTCTGTAAACACAAACATCAAGGGCCTCTGTAAACACCAACATCAAGGGCCTCTGTAAACACCAACATCAAGGGACTCTGTAAACACCAACATCAAGGGACTCTGTAAACACCAACATCAAGGGACTCTGTAAACACAAACAACAAGGGACTCTGTAGTACAACATCAGGGGACTCTGCCTTTGACATCAAGGGGCTCTGTAAGCACAAGCATCACGAGGACTCTGTAAACACACAGCATCGAGACTCTGTGAGACAACATCAAGGGACTCTGTAAACAAATAAACAAGCATAAAGGATATTTTCTCACACACACACACACACACACACACACACACACCGGTACGGCAGGAATTTAAAGCGGGCTCTCTCCACAGATAGCTAGAAGGGGGCAGCCTGTCTCGGGTCAAGTCCAAGTCAAGTGCTGGAATCTGTTGTTTGTTGAGAGAGAGAGAGAGAGAGAGGTAACTTGACTCTATATTGTAAGCGAAGGTTATGTTGGGGTGAGACATACGAGGGCAAGTGAGAGATATATTGGTGATGGAGGTGAGAGATAAGAGAGCAGTGGGAAATATATAAGATAAGAGATAAAGTAGGGAATTGTAGGTTGGAGTGAGATATATATAGTAGAGTAGGAAATATAGATGAGGTGAGAAATAAAGGAGTGAGTGGGAAATATAAGAGATGAGATGAGGAATATATATAGAAGAGTGGGAAATATTGGAGATGAAGTGAGGTATATTGTAGAATAGGAAATATAACAACGAATGAGAAATATGACATTGAAAAATATTAAGGGGATGAGTGAAATATACAGGATCTCTCTCTCTCACACACACACACACACACACACACACACACACACACACACACACACACACACACACACACACACACACACACACACCAATAAACTACACCAATCTATGTTTAATCGTCTGCAACATTGATTTTACTGTACATGTTGCAATTGAGGGTAAGAAAAGTCTCTTTCTATAAACTCCCAAAGAGGAAATTCTCCATTGATTGCAATAAGAATGGGAATGGGTTAATTGATCTTGCAACTGCAGATTCACCTGTTGCAACCTAATGACCGACCTGTTGCAACCTAATATGGAAAGATCTTGATACTGACATTTGCCGTTTAACCTAATAATTGTGTGTTTTCAATTGATCTTGCAACCTCTAATTAACCTGTTGCAAGATATCAGTGAAATTGCAATTGTGTTTTGTTGTTCTTGTAACCTCTTGAACCCTGTTTCAAATTGGATTCTCTGTGTTGAAGATTGCAATAACGTCTGACCTACCTGTTGCAACTTGATATGGAGAATGCAGTATTTGTTTTTTTTCTTGTATTTTAAGTTGCTGTTGCAATTTCTATTACTTGTTGCAGATTGGAATTTCAGTGTTGAAGATTGCAATAACGTTTGGCATGCCAGTTGCAAATTATTACTGATATTGCAATAACTTTATTCTTTGCCTTTTCAGTTGATGTTGCAACCTCTGTTACTTTACTTATTGCAGGTTGGAATATTGTGTTGAAGATTGCAATAACATCTGACCTACCTGTTACTACATGATATTGACACTGCAATAACCTTTTTGTCTTTGCCATTTCAGTTGATGTTGCAAATTAGAATGTCAGTATTGATATATACAATAACGCCTTGTGATATTGTCCCCTAACAGTGGGTGGAAGTGAGGGAGGAGGAGGAGGAGGAGGAGGGGGGTGAGGAAGGAGGCGGGGACACCATGGCTAGTGACCACGCCCTCTATGCCCCTAAACCCGCCTACGACCAGCTCGACCAATACCG